GGACTTCTTGTGATGTGTGCAGCTGTGCAGGTCGTAGAGATGTGACAGCTGCCCGCTGATCATGGCCATTGCAATGCAGTGCTGACGTACCATCAAAGCAGCCGGCGGAGCTGAAAATATGAAGAGAGTGCATATCTCATCGCCGTGAGCACGCCATTGTAACATCACCAGCACTTGCAATGCAGCTTTCTTCGAGTGCAGACCCTGCCAGGCTGACAAAGGGGATGCTGTCGCGGGTGAGTGCGACATGGAGACAAGAAGCATCGAGGCAGCCGTTTGCTGTACGTCTCTGGCAGTAGAATTGAGTCATTCTCACGATGAGAAGATGGCAGGATCGGCTCAGGAAGGTCAATGACATGTGCAGCCAAGCGTGTCTTGTCCGAACTCTGGGAGACCTGCGCCCTGTTTAAGAAGCCTTCGACCAAAGTTGCTACGATGCGCCGTGATGTTTCCCACAATTGTTGTGGCAGATGATGGACTAACGTGGGTCAACCAGTGCAGCTGCTTGTAAACAGCTAGGCCCTAAGGCTTCAAGGGTGGAGGGTGATCTGAAGCTGAGGAAGAAGGTACCGATCCTTACACCAATTGCCCGACACATCGAGTCAAAGTGGTTCCGGTAATTCACTGTGGGCATGCGTGCGAACCCATGGAAACGTGGGTGGGGGGGGGGGGGGGGGGGGGGGGGGGTTGGCGGGCTGGCCACGAATCGCATCCTCTGAGACTCCAACGAAGATCAGTTGGCCGCGGACGCCCAAAATCAGAGCGGAAAGTTGAGTGGCAAAGTTTTTCAACGCGAATTGCAACTGTAAGGTGGTCTCGCCGGCTTTCAAGTCCCAGAATTCCCTCAGTGCGAGCTTCTCCAAGACATTCGGACTGTTCCAGGCTGCAGAAATTCCCAGCCCAGGTTTGCGGAGCCTTCGGGAAGATCTGACCGATCAAGTCGAGAGGCTTATTGACACCCGGAAGTGCTCTTGAGTCTTGAGATAGCATTGAGGGCTCACAAACTTAGCTGCGCACCCTGTGCAGACTAGTGCATCTAGTACGATCAAGACAAGCTGTATTGATCAGCTGACCCCACCAAAAAGCGCCAGTCTTTTTCGCCAGAGAGGGCCCGTCTCTCACCTGATCCGGCGACCAGGAATCTGTGGTCGTCTTTCTGCAAGATGTGTCACCCTTGCATGGGGGCAGGCCGAGGAGCCACTCTGAACCTGTAAACTTGTAAAACCTCTCTGACAGGAACCTGACAGGAACCTGACAGGAACCTGACAGGAACCTGCCTGCCCACTTCAGATGCAATCCCGCCGCAGCACCGAATGGCTGTGGTCGCGATCGAGCAAAAGTGCTGATTTGCAGAATTGCCGTTTGGCACGATTCGCGATTGCTGTGCAGATGCTGCATTAAATGTTTTTGACTTTTAACCCGCGCTGTGTAGACATTAAGGTTTTGACAAAGCTTTGCACGCGGTGGGGGCTCCGCATTATCTTCGCAGCAGTAGTACTCACATACGGTAGATCTCAGTCTCAAGGGCATGGGTTTGTTGATGGCCTATTTGGCGCTGGAGCGGTACCGGGCTTATGACGGCTAATTCTTGAACATCCCGAAGCAAGAAAGGCGCACGTGGCGTACAACACTAACCGAAGCCCTTCACATGCCAGCAAAGGCAGACAACCCGAAAAGAACACGATAGACTCTGCTCGTGCTGTCGGGATGGCAGGTGTTCCGACCACATGAAGCTTTGTAACTGCAATGGCAGGACGTCTTGAACTGCAACATTGCTCACCGTTCACGTGGAAGTCTCGATGCGCTCCTCGTGTGGGGAATGCTGTGGCAAGCTCTTGGCAAGACAGGGCAGCTACGCACAGGAAGGCTTGTCCCATCCTACAGGGGCAGCGGCCGCCGAAACCACACAGGATCGAGTATTCCCCTCCTGCGCCCAAAGAGGTGGTGTATGAGCAGCTGTACGACCCATCCTTGGCTGCGGAGCCACTTGATCTGCTCTGCTCGGACGGTGATGAGGATGATGGGGACTGCCAAGGTGTTCTTTCTCGGGTTGAGCTGTCTAGATACATTGCCCGCAAAAATGCGGGCTTGGCCGCTCTTGCCGAGACATCACGCCAGCAAAGACTTAAGTTTGCGCTGGGTGACGGTGATTGGCAGGGTGAAGTGCCTGGCGGGCATGCAGGGCATGACCATCCACTTCCTGGGCTGGAGGATGCCGCGGCCTGGAGCCTTGTTCTGGAGGCGGTAGCCTTTGAGCGAAAGCATCTGAAACGAGGTTCCTCGAACAACTGGCCGGATGCTTTCTGGTCACCAGCTTGCCTATGTCGCTTGAGGCCAGATGCGCTTGCTCAACTGGATGCGGAGTTGGCGTCTCTTCTACCCCAGCTCGATGCGTCGGAAGGCGATGGTGACGACAGCAGCTTTCGGGCCCTGCCCGCTTCAGTCTTCATGCGGCAACTTCTTTCAGGCCAGCAGTCTGGCCAATTTTCGTAGTTAAGCACAAACGAGCTGTCCAAATCCAAAAGTGACTCCGGCCACCCCTAAAACTTCAAATCGATGATAAGCTGCATTTGCAAGCATTTGCCCTGTCAGATGTTCGTTTAGCACGTGGCAACTTGCACGGTGCCGCTGCTGCTCTGGCGATCTCAAAGTCAGCAGAGCCAGAGTCGGCTGATCCTTTGTGCCCGCTCCTCCTCATTGCCTGGGAAGATGCCTTGGACTGTGACTTCTTGAAAGCCCACCACTGTTTCCGCCTCGGCCGGCTAGCCGTGCGTGCGGCTAAAGCAGAGCTTCTTGCAGCAGAGGCAGCACGCCACACCGTCATACAGAGTCATGCATGTTGCTTTATGACAGTGGTCTTTCATGCGCCGATGTTTTTGGGCCCACTGTCAGGCGTTGAGATGCAATGCGTCTCCCAGCAAGATACAGCTTCGAAGAGCGGCTCCGCACTCGGGTACTGCATTTTTCGATTCCTGAAGCATCGCAGGCAAGGTTTGTCCATGGACTGCGTTATTTTGCATGATTCTTTGACCAGAAGCGACTTGCGCTGCTGCTTGTTCGCGAGGATTCACGGCGTATCCATAGTCATGTAGTTGCACGCTTTTGAGAAACGATGCTGACGCTGACTGGCACTCTCTGAGGCTGGTCGCGAGGTTGCGGCCGCCAATGCAGCCGTGTCCGTCCGACGCCGTGAGTATCTCTTCATATCTCTCTATTCTTGTCATATGGCAAACTGTGACATCTGTTTGGCTTTTAAACTTTCTTGGGTTCAAACAACATTTTTGGGCAGAGGTCAAGGTAGTGGCCGCCATGGCCTCACAGTGTCTGGTACCAGTACGAGACACAGGAAACTTCGGTTCGGGTCGTCACTTAGCAGGTGTACGGAGTTTGTATTTTTTTGTTGCATTTGCACACCGTTTCCCCGCCTCCTTTGGGCTCTCTCTGTCAGCTGGTATGACGTTCGTAAGTTCATTTGCCATAGGCCGCCAAACAGCTCATACATCCATATTCAAACATGCACCGAAGGGCTGAAAGCTGCGAGTGTAGCGGGCTGCTTTGCTGAAGCGAGTCAAAATGTCTCGCTGGCAAGATGGCATGCTGGGATGAGTAATGTGGCATGGCTCGGCCTGGTTTCTGCCCTGAGGCCGGTGCGCTTGGGAGAGGAATTAGACTGATGGGTTCTGGCAAACCGGTGTGCTTGGAGGCAAACTCTTCGCTCAGCCGACCTTCGCTTTGCCAGCCCTGAGAACGAGATCCAGTTTCGCCACGAGTTGGTGAAGGGGTCATTTCACCTGACGGCAGCAGCAGGCGCATTTGTACCACTGGAGCTTCATTGGGTAAATACATCAGTTTCACGTCAGCCAGGGCCTGCAGGGGTTTGATTACAGACCGTGCTCTCCATGAAACACAACCTGGATGCGAGTCATGCGAGTCATGCGAGTCATGCGAGTCATGCGAGTCATGCGAGTCATGCGAGTCATGCGAGTCATGCGAGTCATGCGAGTTGCCTGATGTCAGAGCATCCCGTTGCCCTGGTAGGGGTTCGCTCTTTCGCTCTCTCTTTTTTCACTTTCGATTTGGATCTTTCTATGTCTTTCTGGTGTGGGGATGGTTCCTTTGTTGCTCATGTTCATCGTGGCGTCTGACTTCGGAGCCTCGATTAGCTGACTTCGATTTTCGATCTTTGCACAAGTTCGAGTTTTCGAGTTTTTTCGAGTTCTCGGTCCAGTGCTATCTCAGATACCACAGGTCTAACACAGGTGGCGCTGCAGCTGGCTATCACTGCTACTCGCATGTCTCAGGACCTTTGGCCGTTTGGCCTCTTTCCGACGGGGAGTTGCAACACAGCAAGGGAAGATTTTTGCGCGCCACAGGAGATGCCTTGGACTTCGGGTCTGTCAGTGCCGGATCTGATCTTCCTTCTGATGCAGGCGCGCTGCGTGCAATGCCCTATCCTTCTTGGAGCATCTCTCTCGAGTCTTCTGCTCGAGTCTTCATTGTCTTCCCTCACGAAGCGAGAGCTCTTTTCAGGCAAGCGCTGCTGGGCTAATGGTGCTTGCCTCCCTGGGCAGTCTCGTGAAAAGTGAGACGTGGATTGCCTGACAAAGCGGCAACAAGCCTGTCGCTGGATGTGCTTCAATCAGTGCTTTGCACTGACAAGATCCATAGTTTCCCTCTCAGGTGCCGCAGCTTCTCAGAGGCATTGTGGACCTGTACAATCTGTGCCAACACTGTCGCCGCAGCCCTATCACTGAGCAACGTCTCTTACTTTCTTCAGGACTTAGCAATTCCGGGAACATGCTGATCGTGTTGCTTGTATTGTTGTATCTTGTTGTGCAGGCGAAGAGCTTCTGAAGCTGACTAAGTGACTAAGGCCGGTGTTCTCCACGGACGATGGTGGCGACTGTGGGTTGAAGGGAGGCAGTGCTAGGAAGCTTTCCTTACCCTAACTTGGTTAGTTGAAGTGTGTGTTTGGCTAGGGAGCTCGACTGCGTGGCTGGAGACACGTCGGAAGTCTCAGCGGTTCTTCTAAGCGTTGCCAGCTACTCAGTTTTTCGGACCTGTACCCTTGAAATTTTGTACTTGCATGATTGATCGAAGGAATCAACGCTGTCGGCATACTTAGAACCTTGCCGAAATAGGGCAGAAACAGCGGAGAGATGCTCCAAGGCCTTCGTTGCCATTGCTTGCCATGCCCTACCACTTCGGTGTTGCTTCCTTTTCCCCCTGGTGCTCTTGGCTGGCCTGGCATGCTGCCTTCAGGCACTTGGCACCCACTTGACGTGGTGGGATGCGTGAAAACACTGAATCCCATCGGGCAGCTTGTAATTTGAAGGCAGTTCTGGGTCTCCTGAGTGCCGGTCAAGGCCAGTCAGGCCCTGGCCTGAGCCTTCCCATAAGTGGTGCTTTTGAATGTAACTTCCGTATCTTTCCTGCAGTCTCACAAAGTGTCGCAATTCACATGAGTGCAGGTGTTCAGCTCCTGAATGCAGCTCTCTTGCTGTTCTTGCTGGCTTCCTCGTACTGCCGGGTGCCCAGCCATGGGGACCTGATGGTCATTCTTTCATGAGGGCAGGCTGCCTAGCAGACATGTGAATTCGACAAGTAGGGTTGCTTGCGTAGTTTGCTTTGCTTGGTGACACGGTTTGAGTTTGTTCGGCTTTCCCGATTGATCGCCGCTCTTGCTGCTGAGGTACCGCACACCGAAGAGAGCGAGATATTCGCAAGGGCTGGCTCCACGGCTGCTCACAGGAGCCGTGATGTGTCGTGCGATGAGTTCGAAGGATGTCGCGGATCAGAGTACAGCGAGAGAATTGTCCCATTGAGACTTCAGCCTTGATGTGCCAGGATAGCCTCATGCACGAGGCCCCCTTGCTTGAGTGTCGCAAGTACGAGACATTGCTACAGCATTGCTCCAGATTGCGCGTCAGATTCGTGGTCACGTGTATCAAGTGTTGCACGTAGGGCATCCTTTAAGGCCCATTCAGAGAAAGAGGCTGCCAAGGTCATCAACTCAGATTAGGCTGCAAGAAGCATAGTCCAAACTCACTGGAAGAGTTCATTGCTGCTTCATGGCTGCAATTGATTGTGCCCCAAGGCTGTCTTAGCCCGCGACCTCAAAATCTTCAAGTTGTATGGCTGCTGTTTGGCCTTGGGTCTGCATGAGGACATGCTGGGATCCGGGAAGAAGTTCTCCACAATTGAAGCACAGACCAAGGATAGTCAGGAAAGCCGCATCGGCCATATGGACTCTACCACATCATCGGCTTGCTGCTTTTGTTGTGCCTTTAACGACTCTCATCACCTCCTTCAGCTCGCTCTTTCCACTTGTGCCGCTGCTGCATGGGGTGCACGTTAACTCAAGCCCCTTGTCGAAAGCATCACGACATTCCTTTCGCGATGGCAGCCTGTCTCATAACCGGACATCAAGTGTGCATCCCTGCAGATCCGGTGCGGGCGCAGTGGTGAGCACGCTATAGGCGAATAGGCATGTGCTGGCACATCGGGTGCGGCGAAGAATGTGCCCCCATGCGGACGCGTGCCCGCGTCGATTTTGGTGACTGCTGGTCCTTCAGCGCTGCAGGTTGTGAAGATCGTTCACACTTGTGTGCCATAGAACACGTGCCACAGAACATGCGAATGCTAGGGGATTCAGGGCGGTGCTGTGCATACATTACAAAGTGGTGCTTTTTCACTTGCTTTGCAATATGTTGCTATGTTGCAGCTCGCTGGGCGAGTTTGTGGCGCACCTCTGCGCAGGTGTTTCTGCTCGGTGAGTCTGCACTTTTCGTCGTTTTTGCATGAGGTGCATTGTTGACATGGGCTCAACCTTAACTATGACTACTTGCCGATCGCATCAGGCGTTCGCAAATCACTCCACACCATTTTTGGGGGAAGGATACACTTCACCCAAAAGTGGGGAGCGAGAACTGAAAGGTCGTTTTGGGGACGCGTAGGCATCATTGAATGCACTACCCGGACGCCAAAGTGCACATCTGTGAATCTGCACAGTCTGCATGCATCATTGCTTGGTCGTCACGGATGGTGCGGCCTGCCATGTCCGCCCATAGTCCATCCGTCGCACGAACCAGGCCTGCGGCTAAGCTGCCAATCTCAGAATCTGAGTAGTCTAGCATGGTCCCGCCCTCCCCTTCTGACTGATTCTGACTGACATGGCTGTGGTTCTCTCAATGCCATGTCTGTGCGTGTCTGCATTAGTTGTGTCGCTGATGCTTCGACCATCGTTCGACCGATAGACCAAGGGTGCTGAAGGAAAAAATCCCTCGAGCTTTCTTGCTGTGACTACCAACCCACTCGACAACCTCTGGCTCTAGCCATTTGCAGGAATTACATGCCTCAGCATGTGTCTTCGCCTTGCTTTTCAAGCCTGTTCCTAATGTCCTTCCAGGACCTTCGGATCTGCAGCGGTTCTCTTCAAGTGGCCACGACCTTCTTTGGGCAGAATGCTTCTTGGAATCATTTTGGGAGCACTTTGCATCACTCTGGGGCAGAAGGCGTTTTGAAATGCTTTGCAATCTTGAAGAGGCTTTGGTGGGCCTTGGTGGGCTTTAAGTCTTGGAGTGGCAGGGGCTAATGACTATTGGGTTTTAATTTTGAGTTGTGAGGAATGGTGGTGCAGGTTGGACTTGAGTGCTTCAGGGTGGTCTCGGTCGAAGTTTCAAGTGTCCGCACGGTTGTTCTGACATCATTGGGATGGGCATCCAGAACCAGAACAAAGCTCAAAACAAATCAAGTCCAGTCTGGATCTACAATTTGTCAGATAAGGGTAGATAAGAAATCTTTCTACAAGAAGAAGCGAAGACTGTAAATCGGAAGAGACTCAGGAAGGACGGAAGGAAACACCAAAAGAAGGAATGCAGAAAATGACACAAGCCGAAAGACAGATCGATAAACCGATTGGCGGGTCACGGTTGACCCTGCAAGTTAACACAAAGCTACAGCTTGATGAGATGTGGGCTTGCAACCTGTGCTTCTAAGCTCCTCTCCCGCAAATTTTGACATAAAATGGACCATCTTCGACAAGTTGAAAGGTCCTTCAATGCCAGGACAAAGAATAGCAACAACTTCGGTGACAGATGCGTTGCACAGGACCCTGTTTGCAAATGGGTGGGATGGCACGAAACCCAAAATGACCAAGCACGCGCCATTCCAACTGGGCTGTAGGCCCTCTTCACAAGTCCAAGAAGCTGCTAAGTTTTGATGTCAACCAGAGCAGCCGTGGAGGAATCTCAAATTTACCTTGTGCAGTTTGCGGGAAATCTAGGCGTAGGGTCTCCCTATTGACGTCTGGAGCGGACTCCTTGTGAAAAGCTAGACTTCCCATTGCACGGAATCATGTACTGATGTATTGAATGCATTGACTGCGTTAATTGTAAACGCTTGCGCGTGCTGTGTCGGGCCGGCCCACGGACGGGACAGGAGGAAAGAGGGTCCTAGAGGGTCCTATAGAGGGGTCCCAGGAGGTCGGGGTTTTCAGGTTTAGGGGGTTCCCAGGTCCAGGCGGGTCCCAGGTCCCAGGGGGGGGGCCCAGGGGGTCCCAGAAGGTCCAAAAAAAGGGTACCCAAAAGCAGCAAATTTTTTTGGAGCACCCCCTTTCCACAGCTCCTCCAAGCGATGTCCTACAGGGCGGGGGGGGGGGGGGGGGCGCGTCACAAAATTTGGCACGGGGGGAAGGGAGGAGACCGGATCCCATGTCTGCTTGTTCCAAACGCTTCTCGGCAGGAAGCCGAGGCGAATTACAGTCTTTGGTTCTGATTACAAAACGGTGCTTCGATGCGCTTTGATTTTAATCCGTGTTTGATTTTCTTGATCCCTGCATGTTGTTTGATCTGCACACCTTTTTGATCCCTCAGCCCTGCTGGACGTGATGGACATAGCAACCTCCTTGCTCATGGCTTCGGTCTGCCGTGTGTTTCGCAAACCGCTCTCTGGCCATGAGGTCGAGGGCTCAAACTTTCTGACGCTGGTGGACGAACCTGACAGGCATTTTCCTGGGATTGCTCCTGCCATCAGCAAGCTTCGTCGCTTTGTTTTCTACAGCATCTGTCTGTCCTGCGTGCGTCTGCATCGCTATGCAATCGGCCAGGGAGATTGTCTCGCAGCTGTGCAAGCGGATAGCATTGCCCCAAGTTGGATGAGCACAGCCCTGCTAGTGTGACATATTGATAATGCGCAGCAACGCGCGTGTGAGATCCAGCTGAATCATGTGCAGAAGTTCTCAGGACGGCTCGCGGATTCCGAGAAGCATAGCTGTGAGGTTGATCTTAGCGGATCATTCTGCAGCCGGTGGCTGAGTGGGTCCAGGGCACTGCACACCCATGTCACGTATTATGTCCTTGCGTGCGTGATCCGGTCAGCATGAGGCTTGAGCCCTGAACTTTAACAAGGTCAGGTTTGAGGGTCTAGGGTTCAGGTCACGGGCCATCAGGAGGCTCCGCAGTTGCGGTTTGTAGAGTTTAGGTTTGGGAGTTAACCCTAAGCCCCAAGCCCTAAGCCCTAAACCCTAGACTAAGCCCTTAAACCCTTAAACCCTTAAACCCTTAAACCCTTAAACCCTTAAACCCTTAAACCCTTAAACCCTTAAACCCTTACACCCTAAACCCTAAACCCCGTGAGGCTTGCCGTCTGATTCTTCTGTATCATGGACGCCCACCAGGCCGGGTTTGTCCAGATCATTGTTCGTTTAAGTAGCACCACAGGGCAGCCTGTAATTACCACTGTACTTCATTGACAGGACGCACCTACCTGATTGGCATCAGGCAGGAGGACATCAGCTCTTGAGCAGCCCCACGTTATGCGACCTGTCCTGGGCAGGCCGCTTTCAGGTCTCGATGAAGAGCGTCATCATAGAATGAGGCATCTGGGGACAGTCTGGTGATACGTAGAGGAATTGCAATGATCTGCCAATGATCTGCCAATGATCTGCCATCCCTGAGGTCCCTCAGAATTGAGAGAAGTCAGACAGATCCTCAGGCCGAGCAGGAACCCCCGAGCTTCAGCAGAGCCATCGAGCGTCACGGAAGATTGCATGCTCTATCTGTGCTCTCAGCATATGTTGCTGCACAGCCTTTGTCAGGACACATGCCATCCTCTGGCACCTATGCACGTGGTCCCTTCACCTAGCCCTCTTGGCACTCCAAAGCCACCGGACTCTCAGCTTCAACTAAGTGCACTCAACACTACGTGACTATGAAGTGTCACGAATCTGGCTTGCTGGCTTGTGCGGTGCCTTTTGCGATGCTTGATGCTTTGGCGTACTGCAGCTTGAGGAGAAGGAGCAGCCCAAAAAGCTGGACAAAGGGTCCAGCCCTTCCAATATCGTCCAGAGCAAGGGCATGGACGACTACTCTGGATTCAGCAGTGACCGGGATGGGACAAGCTCTGCTAGCTTGTGCTACACCTCGTCATCCGATGGCTGGGATACATCAGGCCTGCAAGATTTGTTGCCAGAAATTCCTAGATGTTTTAAGTGGATCCCATCAGGTTTCAACCTCCTCGTGGGAACTGATGGTGTGACGCAAACAGATCCATTGCATGGCATGGCTGACGCATGTGCCCTGCTCTCAGAAGGCGCCACAGGCAATGCAGTCAATATCCATGTGCTGCAGCGGAGGTCGAAACAGATGTAATTTGGTCAGCAGTGGGATACCGCTGCACATGCTGCAGCTTGCCACCACGTCCGCTGGATGATCAGCAGAGAGATGTCCTTGCCTGCAGTCAGTTCAAGCCACGCAGGCCTGGTCAGTGGCACTGCTTGGCATGGTAGGTTTTCTGCCGGGCCAACGTCCGCAAACAGCAATGCGCATGTCGAACGACTAGTGACATTAGTGACATTGGCCATCAGCCACGCCGAACAAGCGCGCAGAGCTTGTTAGGGCGGTAAGATGACTGGTTTCGGGGGGTCGTACTGCGCTCTGCCCAGGCGCAAGCGCAGGCACTCCGGCTGTGAAGTCCTTCAAGGAACCTGGGCTGCTTGGCAACATCTGGCCAGGGAAGGAAGTCGCTCATGCACGACGGCCATACTGTGCTAGAAGGGCCGGTTCTAGTAAACATCAAAATATTGAATGAACTTGAATGTTACTACTACATGACTTTCACCAAAGTTAGTTGAGCCGTTAATGAGTTTTTTAGAACTTAAGACCAAATCACCGCATGATATGATATTAACACAAGTCTTTCAAGATCATCAGCCAGATACTGGAACCTAGGATGTGGTACGAATCATACGAAACATTACGAAGTTGCTGCTTGTTGCTTTCCGCTCAGGCACTGGAGCCTTCCTTCTCAAGCATTGCTCAGCAGTTCATGCACCGGTTGACGTTCATTGGAGACAGGCATTCACTACAAGCATGAAATTAAAGTGTTGAATGCCCTGAATATTGCCTTTACTCGCCGTCTCTGGACGGCAAGCGCTGCCACCTGTCAGGTGTATTGATGCCTTAGGGCAAAGATGGAAGATTACAGACGATGGCGGCACGTTGTACCTGATCAAAGGGCGCATTTGGGTAAGTGGCGGAGTGCTGTTTCGAGAGGGCAAATCAGGGATCGCCGTGGGCTTAGCCAACTAGCTCAATGTTGCCGCAGCTTGCAGCTAGCTTTAATCCAGCATGTGAGTCTCATGTGTGGATAATCGAGATTTCGTGCTGTCTTGCCCGAGGTTATGCGCTTTCAACGAGAAGAGGAGTATCAAGTGTTGAGAGATGTGCCGTGCCAGTTCCAGGTTTGGATAACCACTAGGGTCATTGGAGTTCTGTTTCTGCCAGTGCGTTAATTTGTTTCAGTTTCTTCGACAGTGTTACCCCTTTTCTGCTTCAGTACGGAAGCCCTCCGAAATCGCATCCGTTAGCACCTTTCGACAACAGATGACAGCAGCATACCATGTAGAGCATTCATTGCACATCCGAAACCCTGGAGAAGCACTGCAAACCCTTCTGCGACAACGTGAACATGTTAAGCAGACCTTCAACAGCTGGAGAGTATCACATGCGTAATCCCTCTCGCAGCTCATGCAACAGGGGATCTTACACGACTTCGCGGAAAGACCACACGCTGAGATCGATAACTGTGTTTGCGTATGGGGCTCTTCATCCCTCCCACCTTCCCTTTCCACTCTGTCTGCAGTATGCCAAGACCAGCTTCTGGCATGATGCTCAATTTAAGACGCGCGCTTGGGTGGTTCCCATATCCTGACATGAGGGGGTCTGCCCCCTCCCCCGCGCCGGCTTAGGCTTGCACAACCTAAGCAGAATCAATCCGAAGCCAAACTCAGCAACTGTTTAATTACAGCAACCCTCGTCCTCACATTGACTTGGGAGGCCCAATTGATGTATTGGAACTGCATGAGCTATGGTGCTACAAACATCCTCAAGAAAAAGTCAGTGAACATTTCCACGCAGCAGCTTGTTGCTGTATTTATGTTAATTTTGGGTTGATTTTGGGCTGATTTTTGTTGACCTGCAAATGCCTCGAGTTGTGGATTGTTGAAGGCTATTCAGGGATTCATGAGGTTTTAGCCATTTTTTGCCTTGTTGGGGGTCCTCCGGCATGTCAAGGGTTCACGCAAAAAAGTCGTCCTCCCGGGTCCCCGCAATATAGTTTAAGCGGTATTCATATCGGGCCCAGCGTCCCGAGGGGTTGAGGAAAACAGAGTGATTTAAGATGATAAAAAAGAGAGCCCTGCACAAGAATTACCACATCAAAATGCATCACCGACCAGCGCCCTCCAGCAATCTTGTGATCATGATCGTACAGAAAGCAGCCCACTTTAATCAGAAGCTGTCATTGCCAATCTTGGAACGATCACGCCTCTTATCATCTTTCGAAGACAAGCGACCTCATTCGGAGAACTGTAGCACAAAAAATGTCAACTATTCTTAAGGGGCAGCAGCAACTACACTGAAATTCTTGGTCCATGCGTGAGTCCGAGTAGCTGGGTAGCTGCTTGTGTCAATCCCTGAGGATGCTGCAGGATTTGAGGAGGCCTGTGGCTTGATCAATGAGCATCGGGTATGGTGGATCGTATGACTGATCTTTGCGCCGGCTCCTTGCACTTCTGTCCCACTATTGCGTTGACATGTGTTGCCAGGATGACGAGGACGATGACCTCCTTGCGCATGCGCAGGAGCAGGAACGCAGAGGGGGGCACCGCACGTGGCTTTTTGGGGGAACACGGAGCCCTCTTTGCCCTTGCTTTTGCTCTCCATCCATCCTTCAGCACTCACTGCCGGCCAGCCCGGCAGAGAACAGCAGTAGAACAGTTCGCAGAGCTGCGGTAGAAGGGAGACTCTGAGAGCATGCATGCCATTTTTTGAAAGAGAGATCACTAGGGCAGAATCCTATTGCTCCCCCAGTTGTGTTGTCATTTGCGAAGGACAGCCTACACGTCTTGGAGAACATTGTCTCGCAATGCTACGATGATTCTCCGCTGGGGCCCAAGAGAGCATTCGGTGTGAGAGGGATTGGGCACTAGGGGATCAACATTTGCTGGCCATGCCGTGTATGTTTGCGACATTGCACGGCAATATACGACAGTGCACTCAGGGATCTACTTTTGGAGCTCGGCCTTCCGCAATAGGCCCGGACGCAAAGAGGACAGGGTGATGATATGTAAACCTGATTCTCCACATATTTCTGGCTCCATTGCTCACTTTTGCCAAATCTTTCGCACATCCACACGAACTCAGGAGGTAGCTGGTGAGGTTGGGAGGTTCAGGTCATGTTAGGCCATTTGCTGCTTGCACAGGGCTTATCGTGGCTGAATACCTCTGACACAGGAGCGCAAGTCGGCCTGGCCTGGCAGTGCCCAAGCCTGAAAAGCCAAAAAGGTTGGAACTCCGGCATGATTCTTGCACCAGCTTGCCAAGCAAGCGGCTGCCAAGATTTGTCAAGATTTGCTGTTGCCTCGGGACGTCGACAAGAAATGGATGAAGTCTCACCACGAGCCACGCGCGTGTGTTCGATAGAAAATTCATCGATTTGGAGTGCAGCCGGCATTCGCGGTCGTTTGTTTGTTTGGAAGACTGAACTTCCTGTGCTTCCAAGCATGACAAGGCCCGCCGGTTGCTTCAAGACGCGCATCGTTTGTTTGAGGCTGCGCAGCTCGATTCTGTTTGCCCGCAAGCCGCAGAATGCCTTGACGCGCTGATGCAGAAGGTAAAGATGTTAAAGCCCGTCCTCCCCGAAGAATTGCCAGGACCAAATTGCGCTGTACAGCCGGGATGGGATTCGCCAGCTCACCTTCGATGTCGAGGACCGAGACTTAAATACTTCAAGCTGCAGAACCATGCCGCGATTAGTGCAAGTTGCAAGCTTAACGGCGTCTGTGTGAAGCAGAACCCCGGAGCTAATTTCAGGGCTGCCCTTGAATCGTCAAATGCCCATGACTCGGACAAGGATGTGCCACCAGCATGCATGGAACCATGTTCAGTAGCATGAACAAAGGCAATGGAGAGGAATGCATGCGGCAGCGGCGTCATGACACGCCTGAGCGGAAAAGAGCCACCACACAGGGAAGCAAAGCTTTGCCTGGCACATGTGCGGTCATACGTATGTATGTAGGGTTGCGCCGCGGGACTTTAGGTTTGCAGGTCTTCGAGCTTTGCGGGGTACACGATGCGTTGTGATTCATTCAAGAGGCAGGTTCGCAATTGTTTCGCTCAAATGGTGATGTGCTACAATGTGGTACACGCTGGAGCCATGACAGGAAGAATGGGGAATCTCGTTGTGCTGTGGCCTGCTGGTGACCATGCAGACGCAGGCGGGCATTCGGCATTGACATGTTCCAGGCAGTGACGAGATTCCTCTGGTCTAAGGGCTTTGCTTTCCGTTTGATCCCTGGTTGGAATTGAGAGGCAAGCTGTGCGCATTTGATTTGTGCTTGCTCGTACCGTACTTTCAAAGCCGGCTCTTCGTGTCTTGTTTTGCCACACAGGTGCAGGCTTTCGAGCTTCTCGGCAGGACAGAGGACAAGGCACGGTGAACGTGCCAAGGTTACGTGCTGATGTGTCGAAAGCAAATTATCAAGTTGCCTTAAAACTCCTACGGACTCTACGTCAGTGGCTTTTGTGATACCGCTTCCGAGGACTGGTTGTGTTGAGTAAACGTCAACGCGAGGACAGGAATCACTTTTCTAAGCGCTGGCGCACAGGAGTCAAGGTAAGACATCGCAAAAGGCAGACTGCCTTTGTCATTCTTCGGACGCTGACTCTTTGCTGTGCGCCCGCCAAACGCTGAAAATTCATCCCTTCGTCATCGCGGTTTATTTGCATCCGATTTCGTTGCCTCTACTGCTTACGTGAGCTGCTGTTGAATCGCTGTCCCAACAGTATCCGGCAGCAATTGTAAACACTGCCCGTCGACCACCTCGCCCTGGTTCGAAAATCGGCGTTCCAGGGAAAATTCGAATTCGCGGCTGGCCAGCCTGAAAAAGACGCTAGTGAGGAGGGCGACCGTAGGGGGTAAAGGGCGGGAGAGGGTTTTGGTTCCAGTAATGTATAGGATATAGTCCCAATGTGTTGAATACTTCAATCCGACCCGAAGCAATGTAACATTTGTTTGACACATCTCTACAGCATTCGCTCGCAGAGTTGTTTGCAGCATCGGCCAGGAGAGGATGTTGTCCACGGCAATCAAGCTTAGCAGCTCCCTGCAGGTGCACAAGGGAGGCAAAGTAGGTAGCAAAGACGTCTGCTAAATCTTTCGCACCAGAGGGCACGAATTGAGGAGACTTGTTTCAGGAGTAAGCCAGCTATATCAGCAGTATCGCAGGATCGAGCAGGATCGAGCCTTAAGTCGGGAATGGTGGGTGTCGGTTTTGGGGGTTGCACATGGGGCAGACACTTTGACATCCGCGTGGTCTGCTGCAAGAGTGGGAGTTTAAGAGCCGTTTGGTTGCCAAGGCCTCGCATATTGTCAGTTTAGGGTTCAACAGTGCAGCTTCAGGCAGCGCATGAAGCCTCGCCGCGGTTACGTCGCCTTCTTGCCAGCTTGCAGTCGGAGTACAAACCTCAGCGTAGCAAGCTTCTCACAAGTGAGCCAAGCTCCATGCACCGCACGTAAGGCTGTCGGAGATCCAGCCGATCCAGCCCATAAACACAGAGACCTGAGATGGGGCCGAGTTGCCATGAATAGTGCCACGGAGTGCCTGGAACGAACATAGCCGGGGTCAGATAAGAACCGTAATGCAGCATCGCACAGTGCCAACTCAACCAGGCATGATGCAAAAGTCTGCGCCAAGAAGGCTGCAATCTGTTTCACCAGCTTCAGATGTTGCCCAAGGCAGATCGTCAAGAAAAAACAGCATGCGAGACATTGCGAGACCGACAGGCTGATACTGCTGCTTTTGCACTCTGCGCACTCTGCACACTCTGCACGGTCATCGAGTTGATTGAGCATATCGAGATAGTTCTAGTTGACTTTGATCCCCGAGTACAGTACTGTAATTTCTCCAGTTATTTACTTGCGGTCTGTAGAGCATATGGTCATGTCAGAAGCACGGGCAGACTGCGATCATGCAGGAATACCGAGTAACACCAAGGAGCATCCATTGTTGACAAAATGCTTCATGTAGCGAGCTGGCGCCTGCCTTCCATGCTGCTTGGCCGAACAATCTGTTTGCAAGTTGGAACAGGGTGACGAAGAGCCGTGAGAAAACGTGTGAATTGTGGTCTTCGTTCATCGGCCTAGCACTGTGTCGTGCACCGACTGCAGCCATGTAACGGCGCGCACCGTATGAAATGCAAATCAAACCTCAGTTTCCTGGATGGCCCTGGA